TAAAATGATGCTTTGGTCATTTTAGTTTTAAGATGTATTTTTGTGAAAAAACCTAAAAAAATTTTATTTGAGAGAACTGTCATATATTCAAATAAAACTATTTATTTTCTCTTAATTTTTACAAATAATTAATGTAAAATTAATAATGTAATAAAATAATAAATTAAAAAAATTAAATAAATTTTATTTTTAAATATAAATTTATTTTAAAAACTTTTCTTTCTGCACATGGTGCAGGAAGCCACCTAGTTTTTATTTAATCTTGGAAATAAGATTCTAGACAAAGTAATATTACAGTTAAAATAAAATTATAAAATGTCTTTTTAACAATTTTAGTTGTTTAGTATTTTTTAAACATAAAAAATATTGTTATATATTTATAATTAAAATATTTAATATAATTAAATTTAAAAATAAATATACTAAGATACTAAAACTTATTTTTTTAAAAAAATAATAACAAATATTATTTAATAGTAATTTTTCACTTTTTAAATCTTAAGAAAATATAGTTTCAAGTAATTATTTGATAGAAATATTGACATGTTTTAGAATAATTGTTAATTTTTTTACTTTCCACTGCGCGATATTTACAACATATAGTTTAAATTAATTAACTGTGCATTAATTTAAATAGTTATGTTCTACTATTTTATATATGTAAATAGTAATAGTTTAGAATAATTATTGTAAACTTATATGCATTATAATACCTAAAAATTATGTTAGAACATATACCTAAATTTTAAAATTGATGTAAAAGAGTTTCTCATTCTTTTTATGTTTTCATAAAATAAAACAAAAATAAACAGAACCCGTGCGTTTCACGGATCCATAACCTTTCCTATACTATTTTATATTTGTATAGGAGCTGTTAAAAACAATAATAAATATTATAGGGAAAATTAGCATTAAACAGTCTTTGACATTTTTAAACAGTCTTTGTCATTTTACGTTTAATATTTTTAAAGGATAATTAATAAAAAAAAATTTTATTAATTGAGAGAAGGAAAATAAGTGTTAAATTTAAAAGGATAATTACTAAAAAAACATTTTCTTTGACATTTTTAGGTATAATATTTTTTAATTACTATTTTTTACAATTAACTTTTCTTTATTATTTGAGAGAGAGAAAATCACTTTATTATTTGAGAGAAGAAAAATTAGTGTTAAATATGAAAGGATAATTACTATTTTTTTATCTTTACTTTATTACTTTTAACACATGTCACAATCTTAAATATATACGTGCCATGTGTCACGATCTTGTTAATTAGTAACTTTGAGAACCAAGATTTAATTGAGAGAAGGATAATTAATGTTAAATTTAAAAGGATAATTACTAAATTTTTATTTGTCTTTGACATTTTTAGGTATAATATTTTTAAAAAGGATAATTACTATTTTTTTAGAATTATCTTTTCTTTATTATTTGACAGAAGGAAAATCACTTTATTATTTTAAAGAAGGAAAATCAGTGTTAAATTTAAAAGGATAAATACTATTTTTTACAATTATTATTTTTATTAATTTTTAAGACATGTCATAATCTTAAATATATACTTGCCATGTGTCACAATCTTGTTAATTAGTAACTTTGAAGAACCAAACTTTATATAATAATATCTGTAAAAAGAATGTTAATAAGAGTATTATTTAATAATACGGCTTTACATTTCTGTCTTACATATATTTTTAAAAATATTAAACTCTTCTAATGAACAACGCAATCACAATTAGCTCTGATAGTTTTTCTTATAAACATGATAGTCTTCCCGAAAATATATTTCTAGTTTCTTTGTACAACAATCTAGTGTATCATTTCAGAAAAAAAAACTTAGGACCTAATTTATCTTATGTAAGAATTTTATTATATATAGCTTGGTTCTTCAAACTTACTAATTAACAAGATTGTGACACATGACAAGTATATATTTAAGATTATGACATGTATTAAAAATTAATAAAAATAATAATTGTAAGAAATAGTATTTATCCTTTTAAATTTAACACTGATTTTCCTTCTTTCAAATAATAAAGTGATTTTCCTTCTGTCAAATAATAAAGAAAAGATAATTGTAAAAAAATAGTAATTATCCCTTTTTAAAATATTATACCTAAAAATGTCAAAGAAAAATAAAAATTAGTAATTTTCCTATTAAATTTAACATTGATTTTCCTTCTCTCAATTAAAATCTTGGTTCTCAAAGTTACTAATTAATAAGATCGTGACACATGGCACGTATATATTTAAGATAGTAACATGTGTTATAAAATAATAAAGAAAAGATAAAAAAAATAGTAATTATCCTTTTAAATTTAACACAATTTTTCCTTCTCTCAAATAATAAAGTGATTTTCCTTCTCACAAATAATAAAGAAAATATAATTGTAAAAAATAGTAACTATCCTTTTTAAAATTCTTATACCTAAAAATGTCAAAGAAATTTTGTTTTAGTAATTATCCGTTTAAATTTAACATTGATTCTCCTTCTCTCAATTAATAAAGAAAAGAATTTTTTTATAATTTTTTTTTATTAATTATCCTTTAAAAATATTAAACAGAATATGTCAAAGAATGTTTAAAAATGTCAAAGACTGTTTAATGCTAATCTGCCATATAATAGTTATTATCATTTTTAACAAATCCTATACAAATATAAAATAGTATAGAAAAGAGTATGGATCCGTGAAACGCACAATATATTTCCGGGAAGACTATCATGTTTATAAGAAAAACTGTCAGAGCTAAAACATATGTCACTGGGGGATTTTCAGAAAAATATATATGGCTATTACTAGCTTGAATTTTAGTTTATCTAAATAAGTGATAGGATGTATATATATATCAATTTTCACCGTATAATTGTGATTGCGTTAATCATTAGAAGAGTTTAAAATTTTTAAAATATATATAAGACAGAAATGTAAAGCCGTATAATTAAATAATACTCTTATTAACATCTTTTTTACAGATATTATTATATAAAGCTTGGTTCTTCAAAGTTACTAATTAACAAGATCGTGACACATGGCACGTATATATTTAAGATTGTGACATGTGTTAAAAATAATAAAGAAAAGATAAAAAATAGTAATTATCCTTTTAAATTTAACACAAATTTTCCTTCTCTCAAATAATAAAGTGATTTTCCTTCTCTCAAATAATAAAGAAAAGATAATTGTAAAAAATAGTAATTATCCTTTTTAAAATTATTATACCTAAAAATGTCAAAGAAAAAAATTTAGTAATTATCCATTTAAATTTAACACTGATTTTCCTTCTCTCAATTAATAAAGAAAGTAATTTTTTATAAAAAAAAATTATTAATTATCTTTTAAAATTCTTAAACGTAAAATTTTAAAGCCTGATTAAAAATGTCAAAGACTGTTTAATGCTAATTTGCCCTATAATAGTTATTATCGTTTTTAACAATATCCTATGCAAATATAAAATAGTATAGAAAAGGGTATGGATCCGTGAAACGCACAATATATTTCCGGGAAGACTATCATGTTTATAAGAAAAACTGTCAGAGCTAAAACATGTCACTGGGGGACTTTCAGAAAACTATATTTGGCTATTACTAGCTTGAATTTTAGTTTATCTAAATAAGTGATAGGATATATATATATATATATATATATATATATTTATTTATATTAATTGTCACCGTATAATTGTGATTGCGTTTTTCATTAGAAGAGTTTAATATTTTTAAAAATATATGTAAGACATAAATGTAAAGCCGTATAATTAAATAATACTCTTATTAACATTCTTTTTACAGATATTATTATATAAAGATTGGTTCTTCAACGTTACAAATTAACAAGATTGTGACACATGGCAAGTATATATTTAAGATTATGACATGTATTAAAAAAATTAATAAAAAAGATAATTGTAAAAAAATTAGTATTTATCCTTTTCAATTTAACACTGATTTTCCTTCTTTCAAATAATAAAGTGATTTTCCATCTCTCAAATAATAAAGAAAAGATAATTGTAAAAAAAGTAATTATCCTTTTTAAAAATATTATACGTAAAAATATCAAAGACAAATAAAAAATTAGTAATTATCCTTTTAACATTGATTTTCCTTCTCTCAATTAAAATCTTGGTTCTCAAAGTTACTAATTAACAAGATCGTGACACATGGCACGTATATATTTAAGATTGTGACATGTGTTAAAAAATAATAAGAAAAGATAAAAAATAGTAATTATCCTTTTAAATTTAATACTAATTTTCCTTGTCTCAAATAATAAAGTGATTTTCCTGTCTCAAATAATAAAGAAAAGATAATTGTAAATAAATAGTAATTATCCTTTTAAAAAATATATACCTAAAAATGTCAAAGACAAAAAAGTTAGTAATTATCCATTTAAATTTAACACTGATTTTCCTTCTCTCAATTAATAAAAAAATAATTTTTTTATAAAAAAGTTTTATTAATTATCCTTTAAAAATATTAAACGTAAAATGTCAAAGACTGTTTAATGCTAATTTGCCATATAATAGTTATTATCGCTTTTAACAAATCCTATACAAATATAAAATAGTATAGAAAAGGGTATGAATCCGTGAAACGCACAATATATTTCCGGGAAGACACTATCATGTTTATAAGAAAAACTGTCAGAGCTAAAACATATGTCACTGGGGGATTTTCAGAAAACTATATTTGGCTATTACTAGCTTGAATTTTAGTTTATCTAAATAAGTGATAGGATATATATATATATATATATATATATATATATATATCAATTGTCACCGTATAATTGTGTTTGCGTTGTCCATTAGAAGAGTTTAATATTTTTAAAAATATATGTAAGACAGAAATGTAAAGCCGTAACTATAATGCCGATCTTTAATACGCATACATATGTTAATATCAATAAAAACACACATAAAATAGATTAGACATTCATAGTAAAATTTACATCGTTTGGTCATCAGCTACAACAGTGCTGATGCAAATTTATTGACACCAGAATAACCTCATCAACACTCAAAGATAGATCACACATACACACCTCGCATCAAAAGATAGATAGAAACATAGTAATAGTGTACTTTAACATATTTGATTTAGAGCATGGTTAAGGAGGACAAGGTCCGTAGCAGTGGCAGTGAACCCCAGGCCCGGAAAACTCGAGTTCACATTTTCCAGTGTAGGTTGGATTGATTTTCTTGCATTCAGAGTCACAGTTTAGATCCACTGCAGGAACAGGACACGCACTTTCTGGACCTTCTTCTAAAATACATTGACCCTTTGCTTTTGGTAACCCTGTTTAAACCATTAGTTAACCGTTTGTTAGAATTACAACATTGAAAACAAAGTATACATATGATCTCATTTAATCTATTGAAAATATTATATATAACACTAATTATAGTCATCAAAAATGATTTCGAGGTAAATATCACATAACACGTTGGTATTATTCTCCCTGATCGATATAAGAAACAAAAGAGATAGCAACTGAAAGTACCATTTGAAACCAACAAGACGATCAAAATAGCAGACAGGTAGATGGAGTTGATGAGGTTCTTTGCCATTTTTGCGTTTTATGCTATTCCACGTCGTAAACTTGAGTTTGTTGTAAACTATGTGAAAGCATGGGTACATTTATAGGGCAACTTCGTTGACCGTTTGTGTGTTTGTGATGAAGCACACACAGCTGCACACATATAAGATACTGTTCTATTCAGGGCCGGCCCTGAGCTAAAGCACATAAAGCTTGGGCTTTAGGCGCCAAAATGTCAATATATATTAGGGGCGCCAAAATTTTCCAATTAGTTGTTGTTGTGTAGTGGTTTGTGTTATGTTCATATTTTGGAATAAGTCCGGGTTCGAATCTTATCTCTGCTGATTTATATTTATCAAATTACTTAAAGTCTTTGATTCTTTTATTGACTATCTTACCCTTCCATTTTGATGTATTTTATCAAATGATATTTGCCTATAACCGTAAGAAAAAGACAAATCAACTAAAAATATAATTTGTTTGTTCTAAATCCAGTCTTTCATTTTTTCTTATTTGTTAGAGTTTCAACAATTTCTGATTCTCTTCTTGCGTCGTCGATCTTCACCGTTTTGTTATCTTACTCATGTATGGGTTTTCTCTCTTTCTACTAATTCTTTTTTGTTCACTCAAATATTTTTTTCTTTATCTAAAAGCACAGAATAAATATGAATTTTTTTTGTAAACTTTAAATATGAAATTTTTTGTTGGGTTTAAATATTCTCTTTGGACTCTCTCATGATTTGACAATTGAAAGTTTAGTAAAATTTACAAACTAAACATATTTCACAGTGATAATTATCTTGTGCTGTATTTACCAATTATGTATTACTCTTTTAACTTTAAATAATTGTGAAGTTATATTAATATTCATGCATTGTAGGAAATGTTGCTGGAAACAAAGTAAAAACTCAACTAAGTTGACAAATTGATATAACCCGAAACCAATGGTATTCTCAAGTAACATGTTGAATGCAAAAAAAAAAAGTTTAAAAGTCATTATTTTATCTATTACATCAATCTAAGTTTTTTAATGAAAACTTTGTTATTGTGTAAAACAATTTTAATTTTTTTTTTGTTTTAAAATAGTTTCTTTACAAAAAAAAAAATTGTTAGAAGGGCATCAAATAGCTGTTGAGCTTTAGGCGCCATGGGACTCAGGGCCGGCACTGGCTCTATTAACTGTTTTTTTTTTCTTTATAATATTGTTTGTATACATATTTAATACTAATATTGATTCATTCTAAGTGAAGTCATAATGTCGCCATAATTTGGATCTTTGACATGGCTAATGAGTATTTATACTTATAAATGTTTAAGGCTCAGTTACTTCAGCAGTTAACTGATCTGCAACTGTTATCGGAATAACTTTCAAGCTAATGTAAATACCATACATATACTATTGTGTATAGATCTAGACATCTCAGATCAACTGATCGTATAACTTGATATTTTCGTTAGTGATATAAAGAAAACAAGTTATGAACGATTCATAGATCTCTTTAAAAACTGCTTAGAATCCTTTTTTTTTTAACATGAATATTGCACCAAATATTTCTGTAAATACCCATATAAAAGCCCATGCTAAGTTAAACTTATGAATCCGTCTGAATTTTCTCCATCCTTTCTTGATAAACATAGTTTTTTCCCATTTTTTTCCAATGGATCCTTCTCTTCAGAAAACTTGATAAATACACTTGTGGTTGATCAAACTCGGATCTCACATAGTTTAATTATACATGCTTAACCATTTGTGCTCGTATATAATCATCTATTATGTGTAAAAAGAAACATATACACACACACACACACATATATATATATATATATACACATATCTTACTAAAACATAATCATACTAATTTAATAAAAATTTCTCCTAATATCTGTACATTATATAATAAATATATTTAAATTCTAAGAAAATCTGTGAATAAAAATTCTACACAATTTTCTTAAAATTTATATTTATAGAATAATTAATTAATTTTGGTATTAATAAGAAGAATTAATATTAATTAATTAAGTTATTATTTATTCCAAAAATTAACAATTATTTATTTATATATTATATTCTATTCTTATCTAATTTGTTATATTAAAATAAACTAAAAAGCATTCTATGAAATTTCACTTGATAAATCGTATTAGACCACCCGCAACGGGGGTACGTGGGCCGAGTCCTTACGATTTTGGGATTAAAAATAAATCGTTTTGGGCTCGAAATTAGAAGGATTTGTACGGTTGAGTCCGTCTGTAAGGACCCAAAACATGGAGTCCTTCGTGCACGTGTCCTCGTTTGGTTGGGCCGGTGAGCGATAGGGTTTTCTCGTGTTGGGAATAATTTTCATTTGGTATCGAAGGGGTGAAAAAAAAAATCGGAGCTCGAGAGACGAAGGCGATAGAAGCCACCGTCGATCTTCCTCCTCTGTGCTCTCCTTAACAATAGAAGCCACCGTCGATCTTCCTAATCTCTCCTTAGGTTCGTGTATCTTTTGTGGTAGATCTAGAGATTTGGTTCGTTGTTCTTCGGTGGTAGATCTAAGTTTCTTTTTTGCCGTCTCCGTCTATGTTTCTTATCTCGGTTGAATCGATTTGTTTTGTAGTTAGCTCGATTCAGATTATTAGCTTTTGAATTCGTTTTTGGTTTGATTTTTTAAAAGGATTAGGGTTTCAATTCGAATTTGTTTTCGGTTTCAGTCGAAGTGATAAAAGCTTAGGGTTCAGTTTCAGTTTGTGATGAAAGCTTAGGGTTTCATATCGATTTTGTGATCGATTTTGTTTTCGGTCTCAATTTGTTGAGTTTGTGATAAAAGCTTAGGGTTTCAATAAATTGAGTTTATCATATATCTAAGTAAATGTGTTCTTAATAAACAGCCTAGTTGTGTTGTTAAGCTTTACTATCTCCCTTTGCTTTGTGTTCTTAAGCTTTAATATTTAGTGTTCTTCTGTTTTTTTTTGCAGGCAAACGGACCATGGGACAAGACTATAGTTACACGCAGCCTTCTTCATCAGAGGAGTTCGACATGAACTCCTTACTTGAAGCAGAGGCTGCTCTCTATGCGGATGAAGGCGATAGTAGCTTCACATGTGCAGCGGCGGTTCAGTACATCATTGATCCTGAGGCTGATGAAGGAATACCGAGGGTATGCTATTGCGGTAGTGATCCAGTTGTGGAGACGTCGTACACTGCAAAAGATCCAAGAAGGAGGTACTTCTACTGCCCCAACGTTGACGATGGAGACACTCACATCTGGAAATGGTGGGATTTGGCGATTCAAGAGGAGCTTCTTGAAACCCAGACACAACTTAGGATGGTCAAGGATCAATCCTTTGAGAGTGACCAGAAGGTGGCTAAGCTCGAGAAAATCGTGGGTGTATTAACTAAGAAGAAAGCAGGTGTTAAGGATGGTTTGGGGAAGGTAGTTTGTCTACTGTTCTTGCTAATACTGGTCATCGTAGGCTGGTAAGTTTTATACTTTCTTCAGTTATATATTTTTGGCAATCCAATTTCCATTACTAACTGCTTTTTCTTATGTCTTTCAAGGAAGAGTTTCGGAGGATTTGAACATCAGTGTCTGAATTTGGAATGGGCATCTCAGGTAATTTGTTTCTTTCTTACCATACTTTGAGTAATAAAAACATGTATTAGTTTATGAAGATAATTTACGTGAATTAAAAATAACTTCTGTGAGTAATAAAAATACTTTAATTAATAAACACACTTTGAGTAATAAAAACGTAGCTAGTGTACAACTTCTATTCACCATTTTCTTTAAGTTCTTTCGTCTTTTTAAAAATTAATATGATGTAATATTAATAGTCAGTAATATTATATAGTGAGGAACTTCTCCGAGATTATATAATATATCTTCTCCTTGTTTTGTTTGGTTTGCTTTCAAAATGTGAGTTTTTAATGCTAGTTTTGATGCCTTCGTACTTGTTAGGTTAAACGTAGCTAGTGTAGAACTTATTGTGTAGTTACTTTCTATCCGTTACTTAAGGGTTTTTAATGCTAGATTTGATGCCTAACTACTCCAAAACTAAATGCGTAGTTACTTTCTATCGGTTACTTAAGGGTTTGTGTTGGTAATAGAGTAACACAAACCAAAATCTAAACATGAATACCCCCACCCCAAATGGCTTTATTAATCTCTTGTACAGTCAAACGTTAGTTGATCTTGAGTCCCCCGAACCATCTTGGTTCGGTAGGCAAGGTCCTGATGAGTCTTCTTTCCAACAGGGAGTCGAGTGTTCTTTCCAAACTGGTGTTGAGTCCCCTGTTGAGCCTACTGTCAGGTCTGCTAGCAAAGAGAGGAGGAAATGGTCTACCAGCATGGCTTAACACCAGCAAAGACCCCATTGTGAGCTGTGACCAGAAAGCTGACCGTTTCTGGAAGAGAATTGTAGATTACTACAATGAGAGCCCTCAACTGATTGGGACGGTACCTAGAGAGCTTGGTCCAGCGAAGCAGAGGTGGGCTAGGATTAATGAACAAGTATGTAAGTTCGTTGGTTATTATGACGCGGCATTGAGGGGGATGAGAAGTGGCCAGAATGATGACGATGTGATGAAAGAGGCTCTGGACTCGTTTTCAAAATTGTATGGCATGAGGTTCAGCCTTGAACACGCATGGAGGGAGCTTAGGCATGACCAGAAGTGGTGCACGACCTACATTGGTGGGAAAGAGAAGCGCAAACAAGTCATGGACGTTGATACAGAAGATGAAGTCCCCGAGCCTGAAACCAGACCACCAGGTGTCAAAACTGCTACGGCTGCTGGCAAGAGAAAGAAGAGTGGGAAGGAAGAAGAAATATCACAGCTTCAGTCCATCTTGGAAGTCAAACATAAAATCAGTAAAGAAAAGATTCTAGAACGTTTGCTTGCGAAAAATGATCCTCTCTCGGAGGTGGAAGAATCTTTTAAAGTGAAACTCATGACTGAGATGTTATGATGATTTGAAGGTATTAGGTTAGGTTAGTAACAAGTTGTTTCATGCTAGTATAGGTTTGATATTAAGTAACAAGTTGTTT